GTTGCCATTTGGAAGCAAGTCTCTTACCATTTTTTACTTTTTATTATCACTGAGTTAAGTAAAACTAACATATTTAGACAAATATATGTAAGTGTGTTTCGTTAAACAAAATATTACAATGAGAAGATGATAAAGAATATTTTCATAGTATAATAGTATATCTTCAAAGCATACACTATTCCGAGTAGTGAGTTATGTGGGTGTGTTTTTTTTTAAGACGGTGTTCATTTATTTACTTTTCATTGTATACATATATGTTGGTTTTATACTTAAGAGGAACTTTTTTCAATATATTATATTACGGTATGATTAAATATTATAATAAATTACTAATCGTAAAACACAGCCACATAACTCGTCATAGTATACATAATTTATTTTATAACAGACGAATTGTGATTTTAAAACAGAACATCTTTAAATTCAAAAGACAATCTCAACATATTTCTCTATCAAGGATTTTTCAACTATTATAAGAATATGCAAATATAAAATCACATTTATATTTGAATTGCTACGTTCAAATAAAATCATATAAAGTAATGTGAGTTTCATTAGTTTCTTGAATGGTTATGTATAGAGAAATGTAATGGACTTTTTAAAATGAAAAAAAAAATGAAAAATTCATGTTAGCTCAAATAGGTGGATTGTAAGAGGATTACTATACAATTTGGTTTCTTTTAATAGAATTTGAATGGATTTTATCTAAACATATATTAATCACAAATTAAAATAAAAATCATCATTTTAATTAGCTTAATCCATGTCATTATTTTAACTAAAACATGTCGTAGTTTCAAACTAATCAAATTAAAACACCTAAGCTAATTAAATATTAGCACTTTGGTTTTAATAGTAAGGGGAAGGATTTTAAAAATAAAAGTACATGTTTTTTTATTATGGGGTCGAAAAAAGTTACCTGTTGGAAAAAAAAATATTTATAAAAATTTTCAGCATTAGTTTTGAGCACACGTATGTGTATTATATTTGTATGGTAAAATAAAGGTTAACCAAAAAAATGTGTATTTCAAAAATACCTGTAAGCTGTCTTTGGCCTTGGGTTCGTCGCTGCAGATCTAGGGTAAGTCCGTTGATTACTCTCCTCTTCATGGTTTGTCCCTTCCTTCGCTCTTGATCTTACCGGGCAAATCTTTCTTGGTCATGTGTCGATGACTAAGAGGTTTGGTTAGGATCTCTATCCTCTTTTGGTTGTTGTTTGCCAGCTCGGCTTTGTCTTTCTTCCGGCTGTTGCATTGCGAGGTTGGATTTGTTCGGAGGAGTGTCGCTAAGTTTTTTTCTGGTGGAGCTTCGGTCTTTGTCTGAAGTTAAAGTTAACTTTGTACATACATATTATAGC